AATTTTGAGAGCAGAGAAATTTGGCCAGAGTTACCCGTGATAATGCTACATTCCAAAGACCCCATTGTTTGTAACAAAAAAAAAAAAATCATGATAAGGATACTGATTTGGTGCTAGAAGACCTTGGCGAGGAAGCAGTTCGTAGAGATTGGGTCTACTGAAGGTGCTGGATGCTAGAGATCCTACGGGGACTAGATCGAAATATATTCAGGAATTCTTACTTAAAGATCTTTATATTAAATAAAGTAGACTTAGTGTCAGTATTAGTAACGCAACGTTGGGTTGTTGTTTTAAATACTGCATATACAACAATAACTTTGCATGCTTCTATACAGGTTGCCTTCGGCAAAGGCGCTTTATTTACCTTGTTGCAACAACCAGTAAAACTGTTGTTTTATTGATTATCCAGTGTTGGCAAGTGGTCGGAAATTAATGCACTAAGGACGAAAAAAGTTTGCAACGTGGCTCCAATTGCAGGCCAGACAAAAATTTGGCAATATATTACACTTATGAAACAATTACCTAGGTAAAAAAATTGAAAACGAAACCGAGACAGCGCTTAACTATCTCACAGAGTGTTCGTCCAGAGTATATACAAATACCTGTAAAATATACAAATGGTCTTCTCCTATGGATTTCTTGGAACAATTAACCAAAAAATCGGGTGAACTTTTAAAAGCCATTTCGGTTATGTTATAGACTTGTTAACAACAAGGGGAATGCGTTACTGCGTATAATAGTAGCTCTCGTATGACAAAGCATTTTTAATCACATATTCAAAACACTTTATTCTCTACGCCTTGCAAAGCAAAATGGACTATTTGAATCACATATAACCAGGGAGTGTATTGCATTACGCTTTTGTTGTTCATTCACACACAACTCACATTCTTCCTTTGATGATACAGATCACTTCAACACATTATATTTAAAATAGGCAATGTCATTTGTGAGATATGCGAAAAATATGAATGAAGTTTGCGGCTGCATGCAGAGAATTTCGTAACAAGCGTAGAAGAGAATAGTTGAGGATTTTAACAAAACGTGGAAATTTCCGCATTGCGTTGGTACAATAGATAACGAACAAATAATTATTTTTATCTTCCTATAATCCGCCTGAATGGCCGAGTAGACGAGAGTCTCGACTAGCAACTCAATGGTCGTGAGTTCAAATCTCAAGTGCGGTAGAGTTTTTAATAAAGCCGAAAGCCTTAGATGTTAGTGCATTAAAACTTTAGTCTTAGAATTTATTCTCTAGCTAAAATTTATAATAATAATAATAATAATAACTTCGTATAAAGTTGTCCGCTGTCAGTTCTTTTGGGTGTTATAGCGACTCTGCGATGCGAACTAAACTTTTACCGCTCTGGATGTTATCAGGTCTTAGGGGACTAACGCAAAGAAGCGTCATTCTCGTTTTCGGATTAAAAACTCCCAATGATAAACATTGGCAGCCGTGCTACTACATTGGTTTACAGGAGAATGTAAACAAAAACATATTGTTTTGGAAACAAAGATAAAGAAATCGACGTGAACATAAAAAGCAAATTTATAATTTATTTATTGGCTAGTGATAAAGAAGATTAGTTACATACACGTGATGTTGACGGAGCTTTTGCTTTATCGTTTGGGCAACCGTATCTGAACGACCATGCGAAATTCAATAAATTCTAAGGATGAGACAGGGCAGATTTTTATTTTTTATAAGAAAACCCAAATTCATGAAAATTGCTTCGTCCATTTCAGCTAAACGTAAGCTTTCTGTTACGCACGTGTCGGTATTTCTATATAGAAATGTTCATATGAACAATACATTTAAATGCATTCAAACGAACTGTGATTTCTTAGATGTTTAGCGCATGACGTTAGTATGCAAAATCCTTCACTTGCGAATTCTTATGGGAAAATTTGAAAATTGCATGCATACTATCCCCAAAGAAACGTTGATGGGAAGAAATAGCACAGGATTTCAATAACGTGTAAGGTCTGCCTCATTGCATTGTACAATGGTTGGCAAACACACAAAACTCCCCCCACGTCTGGATTTCTCTTCTATCGTTATATATCTGGCGGTCGTAACGGGATTTAAGTCGAAACGGTCACAATATTCAATTTACAAAATTCTAAGAAGTAGTAGTAGTAGAGGTAGACCCCTTCTCTGATTGCGGCTTATGTAACAGAGATAACACGGGTTCTTGTTTAGCGTGTACGTACAAAATAGCACCTGCGTCTATGTTAGAATATATATCGTATCAACAAGCTAAATGATTAAAGTCGTTTCGGTTCAGCACATAAAGTCAAATGAATTTAATTTATTGAATAGAGAAATAAAAAATTGAAAAAAGTTTTTATTGTTCAATTAAAAAACTCCTCCTTTTTGCAATTATTGCAAGTGTACGGTAATATTATCGTAACTATCTTCAGCAAAAGTTTGGCAGGTAATTAGGACCAATACGCCCAAGTTAGAAAGTACAAATGCGAAAGAATATTTTGAGTGCATTTCAAAATTGATGACTTTCCTTATTGATATGTTAAAAGAGAGAGAGGTGGAGGAAATTTCTCCTCTCTTTGCTTATATCAAAATATATTTTTCAAAGTTATACAAAAATTGATTTATCATAAACGTTATTATTACGCAAACTACTATTTAGGAATTTGATTACATCAACTTTTCTTATTAAGAAATTGTTAGGAAGTTAATGATAAAAATGTTCTCATTTTCTTTTCATGCTCATATAATTAGTTATTGCCTTTAGAAATTCGAACGTAAAAATTGACTATTCAGAATTCCAAAGTATACTTGCGTACATATTGATCTCGTTCTTTTTACGTTGAGCTTATTGAATCTATTCGGAAGTTCTTTTTAAGGCTTGCATTTAGTAAGTTTGGTTAGGATTTCCGGCGAACTCTACTTCCTTATGGAAGTCGCTTAAAACTTCTTTAAAGGCTTAAATGTTAATGTTAACAAATAACAAACAAATAAGTAAACAAATTTTATAAAATTTGTTCTATAGACCATTTCCCTACAGTGCTGTGATGCAAATTATACTTTGACAACTGCTTTTTTCTACTTTGTCTCCGCTACTGTAGGATCCTGCTGTCCGGAAAAAGGCAAGCCGTGCCCTTATGGTCGCCTGCACGCGCTTGCCTATTCCCCGCTCCGACATATGTTGCTTCATAACCGCGTACAAGATGTCGAAGGCACTTTTGAATGCTTCATGTACGTCTTCTTTCGGGAACTCCGCCTCAAGGTATTCGCTAGTGAGGATGCCATTGTCTTTTGGGTCCTTGGTGACAATGTCATCGTTCTCTTCTTCGCAGACGTCTTCTTTCTTTAGGGTTAGGTCCTTAAGGCATGCCTGGCATCTTAGGTGCTCACGTATGTATTGGGCTATTCCGTAGCCCGTGAGCAGCCGCAAGTACTCCCCATCGCTTGCGCTTAATCGACCAGTCACCAGGTCGCCATTTTTTGGAAGTGCGCGTCCAGAAGGTGTACATAGTCGTACATTAGTACGACTCTACAAAAAAAAAGAAATAAGAAAATTTGGTCATATATAAATACATATCTCTTGATTATTATTAGTGAAATAAAAAT